TCATTCTTAAAAATTGTCAATCACTATATATAATTTCTACTTACGTTAGACGATTGGTGTCTTTCGAATTTGTAGTCGGACGCTGGCCAATCTTTATTGTCAACAACGACTCTCGAAGGTTCACTGGATACCCCAAGAAACGTTACGGTTGTAAATACCGGTAGCACCATATCTGGGTACCTGGCAATCAAGCCCCGGCGGTCCGAACGAATTCGAAGTTGGTTCTGTTTTAAGGAAAAAACCAATGAAGATATAAGCCTGCTTTCTGTGTTTCTAATTAAAAGTTTGATTTTTTTTTCCTGGGCACATACTGTGTTGTCTCCCACCAGCATTATTAAGTGAGCACCTATTAAGTTCAAACACTACTCTATGAGCAGATTACTGCTGCAATATCATGGTATATAGGCTTATACTCTGTCCGGATATACGGAGGTAAGGCAATGCAATGGAAAGGAAATTACAGGCAGTGGAGATGTGGTTCTATCGCATGTTATGACTCTCTTGGACAACTCACACAACAATACGGAGGTACTTAGTAGTAGAGCAGGAACTACACTTTGTTGGCAAAAATAAGAAAGACACAACTAGAATTTCTGGGTCATCTTATAAGAGAGGAAACCCTTGGGTATAACACACTAACAGGATACATCGCAGGTAGAGTAGAGGCAGACCTAGGCTAAATTTCATTAAGACAATGTTCAAGCTGTTGAACATCAGAAAGTGGGAGATTTTTGCAGCGACCTGCAGAGACAGAAAATTGTGCATAATCATGATCGCTAACGTCCATGACTCGGTACATGATGATGGCGTTTGTGACAAGCGCACAACGGTCATGAAATTTTGCGGATATACATTTACAACTATTACTGCTATTATTAAATTTATCTCGAATGGTGAATATTTTATTAATTTCATAATCAAGTACCCTAAAAAATAATTGGGTTGTCCGAAAGCTCTGATTCTATTTCTGACTGTTTACTTACGATTAATTTTTTAGCTGTTGCTTATCAAATTTTATCTGTACAGAGATCCAGCCATTGTTTCCCACGTATCATTGTTCTTTTCTAGTATTTTGGCTTTTAATCTATATTTATTATATTTTTCATTTTTTTTATTTCGTTGTTTATTTAAAATATTAAAATAACACTTACCTCATCAGCTTCGAAGTAGAGATACATATCGTCGTAATCACTTTCGTCGTCTTCCCGTCTTTCATAATGTTCTATTATAAATAAATATAGTTTGAAACGGACTTATGCACCAGAAGATTAAACTGAATCGAAGAGAATGGCAATAATTGAAATATCAATTCGATAAAGCTGAATATTTATTAAAGTTTCATAAAAATGTAGGCCTACCTTTAGAATCACCGTCATCCCAAAATAAATCACCGACGGCAAGATCGTTACCGTATTCTGGCAAAGCCACAATCAATCCCATATTGTTTTGTCGTCTGCAAAAGCAAAAAGCATTACTACTACTACTAATAATAAAAATGATAATGATTGCTAATTATGAAGATGATGATGATTATGATAAAGACCAAGGATGATGATAATCATGATGACGATGATAATAGACATACTTTTGATGGGATAACATTGAAAATATCTTACGAATGATGAGTAGTGTTTCCTGGCTCTTGGGTGGGGATGACGTAGCCTCCTCTAATATGTAGATTTATCTTGTCAATTGGTGCGTCAAGAGTAGCATTTCGTCCTTCATAAGTCTTTGGAAGACTATCTTTCTGCAAAACAATATTATATTACTTTTGATTTTATTGTATCCTGTACTGTATATGCAATTACGATTATAATGATAGTATATATATAAAATATAATATATATATATATTATATATATATATATTAGATTTTAATGTACTAAAAACATAGTATTATTGAAGGACAGCTGACAGAGGTGCTATTCAAATCTGAATAGCGTCGCAAATAACATCTAGCTCCCAGCTTCATTGCCTGACGAAGATCCAATGATAGGAGAACGAAAAGTAGCAGGAATTCAACAATCAGGGTATCATTATGTCAAACATTGACTAAATCTAAAATATTATTATTATTATTATTAATTATTATTATTATTATTATTATTATTATTATTATTATTATTATTATTATTATTATTATTATTATTATTGTTATATTATTATTATTATTATTAATATTATTAATATTATTATTATTATTATTATTAAATATGATTCATCTAAATCCTCAGTATTTTATTTGCAATAATTATGTTTATTCTTATTATTAAAATTATAAATCTAACGCTACTAATATTCCGAAAATGGCAAGCTAACTTTTGTTAGATGAACATATCTCTTACCGTATAATAATCGTACCAACGGTCGTCTGGAATGTACGCGTTGACAGTTGTTTTACCCTGCCATTTGAAATTGAAAATAAGTTGATGTGATTAGAATAAAATCATGTAAGATACTGTTAAAGAGTAAGAAAAATCTATGAAGTAGTTATTGTATATTGGAAAATAAAAAAATATATATATACGAAGAATAGAAAAAGTAGAAAGAGTAATAAACAGAATTCATTCATTCATTCATGGATTTTTTTATTCAATATTCAATATACAAAATTCAGGCAAAAAAAGTTAAAATTACAATTATGTCATAAAAACAACAAAATTACCATAAAAAATGAGTAAGTGAATAAATAAATAACGGGGGAAAGTATATGAGGTATAGGGGAACAGAAGGCAGTATAATGTATTGTAGACGAATCTAAATTGCACATTATTTACATTGCCCTGGTTGGGGTCATTAAAACAGTACATTAAAAAGCGAAATTACACGATTACAGGTAAATACGAGTAAAAAGAAATGTAAACTAAATTGATCACATCAACATTAAATCAAATTTAAACATGGATATATCAAAAAATTAGACAGTACATTAAATCAAATTACAGGACAGAAACTCAAATGATCACATCAACACCAAGTCTTATTCCGATATCCCTCAACCATAGTGGACATAAAAATTGATTGGATCATTATTGATCAAAATTTACAAATGTATAAATTATGTACATGGTAGTTACTTGTTCAAAAGTTTAACAAAGTAAGGTATCGGGCTTCTTCGGAACCGTTCTGTTTTCGAGCATAAAGTGGAGTGATTCTTTGAGTTTCTAAGATTGTATTTAACCAACTCGTGTCTTTGTTTGGGTAGCCAGGTTTGAAATATTGGGTGATGAGCAAGCTTCTGTGCAAATTTGAGACATAAGCTTTCTCTGCGTTTACATAATTTTTCTATATTCAACAGTGAAAGTGCTTGATCATAATGATCATATTTGTTTCCCAAAATAATCCTGAAGGCTCGTTTTTGGACGTTTTCAAGCATGGAGCTCAATTCAAGAGTGAGACCCGCATTCCACACAGGGACAGCATATTCTAAGAGAGATCTTACATATCCTTTATAAACTATAATCAGTTCTTCCCAGGACAGGTGGAATTTTTTTAGTAGTTTCAACATGAAAAGCTTCCCATTAGCTCTTTTAACTAAGTCAGATATATGTGAATTCCATTTAAGATCGTTAGAGATAATGATACCTAGTACTTTAATTATTTGAACTTCTTGGAGTGAAACGTTGTTAATAGTAATATTTGGTATTAAGGGGGGGTGTTTTCATGAAACACACTTGCATAGATACTTTGAAGAAACTTTCAAATAAAAGAAAAAGAACAAAAACATAAGAACTGTTACCTCTTCAAGTACAGGTGTAATAAGTAGGGCAGGCCCCCACATAAACTGCCAATCTACTTCCCATGCATCTTCTTCTAAGGGGAACCTGCGAGACAAAAATATCATTATACAACATTATATAGCGTATCTATCTATTAAATACCCTGGAGCGTTTATTGTTGAGAAGGGGTTTGATGAGGGGAGCATTTATTTGAGAGAGGCGTTTATTTATTTATTTTTTGGTGTAAAGTAGATTTGTAAACTCAAATAAACGCCACATAATTTCGTTGTAAATGTATAACTACAACACACAATCACCGTCAAAATGTATTAATGTGTGATCATGAAAACTTAATGATTGCAGATTAGAAAAAAATGTAATTTTACTGAAGTAGAACATTAATAGAATATGTTGAGAAAGATGCTGACATTAGATATGTTTACAGTTGGGGCGTTTATTTGAGAAAAAAAATCTCGGGGCGTTTTATTCGAGGAAGGCGTTTATTCCAAATGAACCTCAAGGGGGCGTTAATTCGAGGTTGAACTTATTTAAAGCGGGGCGTTTATTCGAATAAAAATATTCTTTTTTATTCATTCAGTGCAACAACATCCTCCAGGTACGGTACCTATTTCCTAGTTGGTTAGAGACAAATTCACAGCTAGTGTTCGAACACCGACCACTTAAGCCCCCGCAACCACACTGTGACAAACGCCCACAATACCATAGTCTTAATTCTTTGGTATAGTGTGCTCCCTGTCTCTTATACACATCTAGATGTGTATAAGAGACAGCAATTTGCTGTTATAGGCCTAATCAATAAATTCCTCATCAACCGATATAACTTATACACATCTATATATATATATATATATATATATATATATGCCTATACCTTTATAAATTTAAACCGTTAACCAAAATATGCCACTTAATTTGAAAAAAAATAAAAATTCATTTTACGATAAGGTCATGCCCCAAGACCTTAAAAAATATATTTTTTTAAAACTCTAGAATACTTACTCGTGGAAAACTGGCCTTGCTACAGTGTTGCCGTCATACTGCGCATGGTAGAATAATGTGTAAAGATATGGAAGTAGAGTGTAACGGGTTTCCATTGCACTTCTGATGTTTGTAACAAGTGGTTCTCCGTACGAAGCGGGATCTTTATCCTGTTTGTATAAAATAAATATTAATGATAACGCACTATGAGAGGTAAGCTCATCCTTGGCGCTAGTGCCTAAATAAAGAAATGAAATGAAAAAAATCGCTACGCTCTATCGCCGACAGCTTTCGGTGATGATGTTTGGTGGGCCATATCGGGGAGCTTCCCGATTGCAGCGATTGCAGTAAAGAAAAAACTGTAGCGATAGTGTAGCGATTTTAAGAAAACTAGCATTTAGTGGTGAAGAGCACTATATAATAAATACCGAAACAAATTAGAACTTCTCCCAGTGGAGATATCATTCGTTCAGCGGATACCCATATTAAAGGGATGCATTTCCATGAATGAGAACAAAAATCAGCGGAAAAACCGTGCATCTGTATACCTCTTGGAAATTCGTCTTCATGCTGTTTGACTTGTTGGCCTGTTTTTAAAGATATTTCTTGTTTCAGATACCCATCTTGGGTACGACGGTCGTTTGCCCTTTGTCGCAATAAACAACGACCGAATCACACTATTTTATTGGTGTGTACAGTGTGTGACAAGGATTCTCAGGCCAGTAGATACAAATTACATTTTAAACACTACGGCCAACCCTCTTAAGGGGACACGCACATTAGGAGAACAAGGACTCTGAGTGCCGAATAATAGGTGTACCTTTTTAGAGGACAGCCTAATTAAGGGGATATGTTTTGGTCCACGAAGTTGAATATGGCAACTAAATTAAACTGTGACGAGAACTGGGACTTGAACTTCCTCTGCTTTGTGATTGGAAGCCCAAAAACAGTAACGCTGAATTCTATTAAAGATATTATCTATGTTAGAGGGTGTTTTGAGATATTGGGTACCAAATATCTTATACATATCATTCTCAGCGATTTCTGCGTGCAAATTCTGTAATAACGCGGTGTAGGACGCCCTCTTGCAATTACGATTACTTTTAACTTTGACATAAATGATCTAAGTGCAAATTCTGGAACAACCGCCTGAGTAAGAACTAGGACGCCCTCTCGCAATTACAATTACTTTCTATTGTTTCCTGAGTGTATTGGACGCTTTTATTCACAGACTGCGGAGAACGCTATCTTGTTACATAAGTTCTTTGTTGGGTACTTACAGCTGTGCCAGGAGAATTGTGGTTTCTCATTAGTGGATAGAATGAGCCGAGTTGATGCCATCGCGTACAAAGCTCTTCATCAGATGCGTTATAATAACCACAAATATCAGCCCCCACCTATCATATGGTAAAGAAATATAATTATTTTTTATTCAACACAAACATTACAATACGCTTTTTATTTATTTGCATAGGCACTATTTTTCATACAACTAAACTAAAGAAACTTTTTGTTGAGAAATTTTGGCATATCAAGCTGCACTTACGAATGGTATTCCGTTGATGTTTAACCTCAGCATCTCTGTAGGAATAGAATGTTAAACAAACAATGGTAAATTAAACAAAAATATGAATACATTAACAACATTGGTATTGCTTTCATTTATTCACTTAGTTACTTAGTATATTTTTCATTTCAAAAAATAAAATGCTTAAATCTTTAAGATCTATACCCAAGTTGTTAACAAAATTAGTTAACAAAATATTTTAACAGGGTGTTATGAATAGAATTTATTGTTATTATTATTATTATTATTATTATTATTATTATTATTATTATTATTAGTGTTACTCTATGCATAACCTAACTGAAAATATTCCAAACAAAAACCATTACCCTACCGTGAATAGAGTAAAAAAGTTCGCTCCATTCGGCTTTATTGTGTCCGAGCCAACCACCGGAGTACATACCAGTACCAGAGAATGTGGATCGGGATACAACCATTGGACGTTTGTTTGCAAATATAATAGATCCAGCACTAAGAGAAACATAGAGAAACATTAGAATACAATTTAAAAAAAAGAATCAATTAGTCAAACAAACAGTCATGAATATTCAATTAATCAACAAAACAATCAAATAATCAACCATACTATCATTCCATTGGTCAATCATTTACTCACTGATTCAATCGTTTAATTATTTAATCATTGATTATGGAATTTTAATTAATTAATTAATCATTAAACCATACAATCATATAACCATCCATTTATTTAATCATTTCTTTCGGACATCCAATCATTTATTTATTCATTAATCAATCATTCAACCAGCTAATCTATAATTATTTAATAAATTAAATAATCAATAATCAATAAATTATTTAATATCTATCAATTAATCAATACAGCGAGTAATTAATCAATAATTCAATATCTTAATTATTAAAATGCTTATTCAATCAATATCTATTCAATTAATCAATCAATCATTAAATTAAGCAATAATTCGATACCGTAATCATTTAAATAATTATACAATCAATATCTAATCAATCAATCTTGCATTCATTCAATAACGTAATCAATCAATTAGTTTATCAATTATGCATTCCTATATTACAGGCGACCTCCAATTCGAGACCACTCTAATTCCGAGACCCCTCTAAATCAGGACCACTTTTTTTCAAAGTACCAACTAACCAGCATCTTTTAACACTGAGCTCATCCTCTAGTCATGAGACCCCTCTTAAGACCAAGACCACCTTAATGGAAGTACCAAGTGACAAAATAACTTTAATTCAAGACCACATTTGAAAATAAAATCAAACGGATTCAAGTATTTTAACAAGAAATAAAAATATAATTGTTAATAAAATATTACCGGTATGAGTTCAAATGGTATTAACAAACATTTTTTTTTTTTTGGGCCTAATCTAACAAACACATATTCCACTTTTTTTTATTAGCTGCATCATTCTAAATTCATTTCATATTAAACAAAAAAGAAATTTAAAGGATAAATTAACGCCAGTAATACATGAAATATGACCTCAAAAATTATTTTTGACATAACCAACATAAGTTTATATGTTATTATCCATACATTATTAAATCGCTGTAAAAAGACCTGGAGACAAAAGTTCTGAAGCCCTGTACCGACTTTCAAATTTTATGCGACAAAAACAATGATATGTTCCTAAATATGGTCATGATGACATCACATCATGATCATAATATGGTCAGATGATAGGTTAGGTACACCATGACTATGATGGCATACAACAGTAAACTATGTACTTACTAGTGAGTTGCCTGAGCACTAGAGTGTCCATATAAGCTATGTACATCGTAGTGATCACCCCAAGTTTGCTTAGAATCCATACAAAGTGTCTTAGCAAACAGCTTCGATCCATACCTCAGATCTAAGAAATAGAGTTTACAGCAGACAACCATAAGTCTGTTTAATAATGTTACACTGTAAAAGCAGCTTGGAGGATTTAAACGCAAAGCTTCATGCAATTTTGTCCTGTGTTTGGTGAAAGGTTTAAAGGCTAAGCGTGTTTAGGCCCGGCCTAACGTGTTTAGTTTTCTGTGATGATTAGCATTAAATGTGCTTAGGTATTAACATCATGATTTCGAATACAATTCTAAACAAGCCAAAATCCTCATTAGGCTATGCCTAATGAGCTATGCTAAACACGTAAAGCTATGCTAAACACGTTTAGCTTTTAAAAGAATGAATGACTTAGTTATAACTAAATAATGAATGTCCCTCTCAAGTATGTCAAATATAATTATATGGCTATCGTTTAAATAATTCTTATTTGTTTAAGATATTATTGGAAGATATTTTTATGAATGTTTCATTCAACTCGGTTTAACTTTAATCCATTTTTCAGCTAATGAAAATATGCTTCCCATGCACTCATAAAAATTCAGTCTTATATACTATCATGGATGGAAATGATATTCAAAAAGAATTGGCCTACTGTACATCAGTTATTAATTCATTTCGAGTATGGTGTATTTTTGAAGAATAAATATTTGAATCACTTATTACTTACTTATTTTAAAAATATTCCAAAATTAAACAATCTTGTATCTTTGTAATTTTCTATAAGACCTTTGAATTTTCGTTCTAAAACGTTTTTAAATCAGCGAAAGCTGAATTCTCTCCATCTGTACTGTATCATTGGAAGTTGATAAATTTGTATGCTGGTGGCGTATCTAGGTAGTTGTGGAGAGGCACCCTTATTCTCCTTACACCCCACTTCCCCTCCCCCACTTGAATTATTTGAAGCAAAAAAATCAGCTAAAGTAGTTAAAAATCACATCATAAACCTTATTTTGCCGGCTATCGACCCTCACTCAACCATCGATCCACATCGCCATCTCCCACCCCCCACCATCAGCTCCACCCCCATACCAAACGCTACGCCACTGATTACAGACAATTTTTATGTCAACACGGAGTGAACATTACAATATCTTAATTATGTATTAAGATATTGTATTATGTATTACTTTTAATGTTAATATTGATAACAGCTAAGCCTTTTATTTAATTTTTGTCTTGTCTTGCCTTGTATATGTTAAGGAATCATCATGAGACAAGATCATATCTTCTAATTTTGATTCCTGAAATAGTCCTTATTCTGTTTATATTTACACTTATTAAGTATAGGCCTATATGTATAATTATTATTATTATTATTATTATTATTATTATCATTATTATTATTACTATTATTGTTAATATTATTATTACGACTATTTCAAAATAAATGTTACTTCTACTACTACTAATTAGGTGCCTGACAACTGTTGTAACTATTCTTAATTTGTGTCCTATAAAAGTACTCCTCAAATTCTGTATTGTATTCTTATTTTCAATTGGCTGATAATTGTTTTACTTACTTGGCGCATATGGTGGGTAATTGAGGTAAGGGTTTTCACAACCTTTCGTTGTTCCGTTCACCATATTTGACGGTTCATTGTAATCCTATAAAATATTTAGGAAATGTGAGTTTTTAAGTAGTTAAATAATAACAGTACTCGCGCAAAAGCTCTACCAAATAACCTTTCCGCCACCCCTTGGATATTGTTGCTAAAAGGACCTATAAAGGTGATAGCGTACTATGTACGTACGTACATACATACGTTTGTGCAGTGGCGTAACTGGAGAGTACTAATGCTTGTGCTCGATGCTGACTGGAAACTGGAACACTTTACTGGTAGGCGGGACTTTTTTTATTCAAGCCAATTTTATGGCACTAGCAGCATACGAATGCCTAATCATGCAGTATTATGACACAAGTATTTGCTGGAAGAGAGTGTTGTATAAGGCACATACTATTATGTTTATTCAAGAACAGATGAAAAAGTATTTACAATAAGGATGACTCACTTGAGGTAGTGTTTGGTAAGAATTTTAAGTCCGACTCGGTACTTGTTCGTAAATAGATCACTGGTATCGATGCAATGTGGGTGATACATCTAGAAAGTATTATACAAAAACAAAATGTGACAATATCCCAGTACAGTTGTCAGCAACGTATACTGCAAGAGCAGTTTCCAATAATCAATAAACTGATGAATGATACTCAATATTTCTAATTTAATACAGTATTTAAAAATTTAATTATTAATAAAAGCATTTGACAGACTCTAAACTGCTGTGCATAAGTATACTGAAAGACAAGCTACATAAACAACAGCTTATCCGAGAAGACTTCATCAATCGCCAAAACCATAGGTAAGCGTACCATTCGAACCAGCGCCAATATTAGGACAGTAGGTTTCGGCACCCCTGTCTTAACTGCTGGGCCATTCGACTTCAGATTGACATACAAGACTTACAGCATGTGACCTGGCCTTCAACCTGTCTCTTATACACATCTAGATGTGTATAAGAGACAGGTGATTCCACCGAATAAATCCAGTCCAATCCAATCCACACCTAAATAGATCCTTGTCATTTGATTGGTTGATTTAATATATAATTTTTATTTGTCATTTATACTGCGTTACCTCTTCAGTAAAATGTTACTGTTCTCCCAGAGGGATCAGAGGAGTATATACCACATTATAATGACAAATTAATTCATTTTAGTTTGTTTTCGTCATTCTTCCGTGAAATTTAGTTCCATCTCTATTTATCTGTGTTGAATGAATGAATCTCGTGTCTAGCTTAAGACCAAAGCTGCTAAAGACCATAAAAACCCGATATTTAATTGAAGGGAGACCAGTAGGTTTACTTTAATAAATTACCTACCCCTCCAACAATAAGTACCTAAACGTCTCGGACACATAAAGAGCTCACTGGCTGTTGGGAGGTTGACCAGCATGACATTAGCCATACTAACAATTTTACCCGATATCTATAGTTATATTTTACTATAATAATAAAGACCCATATTGTGACCGATTAATACCAAATAGCAATAATGATTGTAAATGGCAATTTCGTAGTTTCTTACGCGCATGAGAATGTAGGCAGTCAAAGTAAAATAAAAGTATAGCATAACATACAATGCCTACACAAGCGTTCTGTGATAGGCATTATTTTGACACCTGACATAGACATGCGGTGTGAAAGACGGTTTGAGGACAAATTTAAATGAATACATTCATTTACCTTTCCGACGGTTGGCTTAAATTCCCGATCCTGTTCCCATTTCCAATACTCACTTGCTCCCAGTGTATTATTCACAAACACGCCTTGCCAGATTCCCTCTGGATATGCCGGGTACTCTTTCCTATCCAAAGTATTCGGAATTGATGGCAGCTGAAATTAAACAACAAACTTATTTATTTATTTATCTTTCTAATAGAAGCAAGTATGCTTTTACTCTAAAGTTACTGTTGCGTGCAGTTCGCAGTTCATAGACATAAAGCTTTACTGCTCAGTTTGCAAGTAATTTCAAAAGCATAATAAAGGGAGAAAACCATGGTAATGCCTACTATTAAGTTGCCAAAAAGTTTTTTGATTATTTAATAGCTTTCAGTTTTAATGTTGACACTACGTGTATATACTTGAAGAAATAGGCATGAAGTGATTCTACATTACGGTATAATGCACTTTGTGTATCAATAACCAAGGAAAAATTCAATTAACGTTACCAACGAACTGAAACAGGCATAAAGTATGTGATTATGCATTATAATACACTGTGTGTAACAATAACCAAGGAAAAATACAATTTAATTTACGTTACCAAAGTAATTATGTATTTCTGGCCGCGCATGTGTAGATCTTTGATAAATTTCGGCAAATCACCGTACGCCTCAGCTCGCGTGTCATAAGTAAACGAACGATAGTTGTACATATAATCGAGACCACTGTAGAAAGCTTCCTAATAATTAAAAAAAAATGAAAAAAAAAAAATGAAGATTACTCTTTTTATGAATATAATGGTTTTTATACATATTGATACATGGGGTGGAGTTGAACAGCTTGGTGGTTAAGATGCTTGTCTTCTAATCCCAGAGTTTTGGGTTCAAATCCTGTGACAGCAAGACCTTTTCTCACCACTAAAAACAACACCACTTCCTAAGCCTAAAAATGAGGCTTCGCCCCTGGGTATCAGCCGACCTTCTAGAATACACTGGAAGAGCCACCCTCTATAACCATGTTTAAAAATGCAGATGAATATCTATATTTCTAATCGGTTACGGATACTTACTACAGGGATTCCTGCATCCCTATTTCTTTTCGCAACAGATTCAATCTCGGCCAAACCTCCCCACTTATCGTGACTCAGTTGATAACCCAATGCCCAATACGGTGGGATCTCTGGACGTCCAATCGCCTGTTGGAAAAATACAATACTGTATGTATTAATTGCAGTGTTAGTAAAGAGTGTTACTGGGTTGCAGTAAACAGCTATAAACAGGCGGGGATGGGGGATTACTAAAGCAAAACGTATGCTCCGTGTATCCATTCTTTACTATAGTCAACCCCGTAGTCAACATTATCGTGAGTGACATTCCTTCAAAAAATGAATATCAATGTTTGAGATAAGGCAAATTGCTTATAAATAATGTGCTTAGGCTTACAGTATGCCAAATTAAACTCGTTGTTTCCTAAATGTATATTATATGCTTCAAGTAATATATTATTATTATTATTATTATTATTATTATTATTATTATTATTATTATTATTATTATTATTATTATTATTATTATTATTATTATTTTATTATTATTATTATTATTTTATTATTATTATTATTATTATTATTATTATTATTATTATTACCATCATCACCATAGTCTTCATCATCACCGTCATTATTGTTATTATTATTATTATTTTTATTATATAGACCTATTATTATTATTATTATCCTCATCATCATTATCATCATTATTGTTAATTATTATTATAAATCTTTTATTATTATTATTATTATTATTATTATTATTATTGTTTTAAGGTCACTAGTATTGCTGATTGTTAGAGTTTCCTCACGTCCTAACGCGTCGTGACACATTATGCAAACACAACCAAAGTCCATGTATCCAAAATAAATTCTACTAGATCTAAAGTTAACAATAAGCATATAATGCAAACCGCATATCAAGATATTTCCATAATAGCCTACTTGAACTATATACAGGTTTTACATCATGGTAAAAACAATAGAATATAATACAAAAAGCAGATATGCTTGGTTGTCTACCTCTGTAAAGGCTTTGACAACGTCTTCTGGTTTCGGGCCTAAGAACATCCAGAAATCAAACACACCACCTGTGCTACGCCATGTTAGAGATGGGAGTGGCTGTAGAGATACATCTGCAATGCAAAAAAAAGTCTCCTAAATATACATTATAACGTACTATATTTTGTAATGTATTACAGTTCGCCCTCCAATTTGAGACTATTTTGAGACCTGTAAATTCGGGGTCTCGGGGTTCAGTCTCCAATTAGAGGGGTTAGCTTTGTGTTAAAAGATTGAAAATTATTTTATTCTTTAAATAACTGGTCTTGAATTACAGGGGTCTCGGAATTGGAGGGTCTCGAATTGCAGGGTGCACTAGGATTGTGGTACATTATTATAGTAAATCCATCTAATTGTTGTTCTTGCCATTCTAGAAAAACATTATTCTCTGAAAATTTTAAAAGTATGTTTTTGTTTTACCTTGCGCGTTAGAATTCAGTAGGAATACACCAAACGCGTTACCATCATCCTCCACAACCATATAAAACGGGTGCTGGCCGTATGAATTCCAGTTCTCCTGAAAATGTAAACGAGTAAAGTAAATATTTGTACAGAATGAATGCACAGATTTGATCATGAATGATATATTCATCAACTAATATTTTAAGAACTCTCGCTGCTTGGGTGGCACCAGGATTTTCTCGACGGCGCAGAGGGGTTTTTTACTTCCCTACGAGGGAGGGGAGAGCTCTCCCCGACAGGACCCCTTCCCCTTCCCTTACTGGTGTCACATCTATCTTTCTCCCGTTTTAAGGGTAATATAAGCGTACTAAAAATTGCTATGTTATATTTAGATCTTTCTGAAAATAAATAATATATTCGGATTTAGATTATTCAAGAGACCAACATTAATGACCTGTAAGTGCAATTTTATTTTCCTAACCTGAAATGTAAAAAAAATAAATACAGTATAAGCTAAATCTGTTGAATCTAAAATGTTGTAGTCATACTTGTGGTGGCGAATCCAGGGGGAACATAGGCCACGTCTTCCACAATTCAAGCTCGTGTCTGTATCGTGTTTGCCGCATCTGACTAAAGCCGTATACATTAGCTGAAGGAAGCTTGGTGGTGATCTCGAGGTAGTGGTCCTCACTGATAAGGCCACCGTACGATGTGTCAAAACTAAATATATAATTTATTATTGTTGGTATTATTATTATTATTATTATTATTATTATTATTATTATTATTATTACGTATGTACTCTATTGATTGTAATTAAATAATAATAATAATAATAATAATAATAATAATAATAATAATAATAATAATAATAATAATAATATATTACCTGGAACATATAATATACATTTAGTTTCCTCAACTAAATTTGGCATACTGTTGGCCTAAGCCTATATTCTTTATAAGCAATTTGCTTTATCTGAAGCATTGATATTCATTTTAGGAGAAATGTCAATCACGATAATGTTGACTATAGTAAAGAATGGATACACAATAAACAATAATAGCAAAAGCATGAATACTGTACGACTAAAGCTTTGTCTTACACTATCAAATTTCATCAAAAAAGGGTCACATAACACGTTCAACTGATTTTGATACAATTTGATAATATGTGATATGACGTCATCATTATTACATCGTTATTACTTTTCATTCTATATAATTTGTACGAATAAAATACAATAATACATACAGTGTAGTACCAGTCTTCTTACGAATTACTTTAAAGTGGAAGGGGTCCATTGTATAGTTGATGATGTAATCACGTTCGCTGGCCATTCTCAGCACCTTCGGCATGTTAAAGGCTTCTGGGGGAACTTCGAAGCGTGGTTTCCATAACCTATCCCATTCTTCGTATTCTTCTTTGTAACGCCTATTATTGAGTCTGCGTTTGGATGGATATCGATCGATATATCTATATTCCGCCATCTACAAAGCAAGTTCCGTATTACAATTTTCGTTTATCTTATGTTTAAAGATATTGTAAATTGTATTCATTGGCTAGCAATATCACAATGGACTGGAATGCATTAAATAAAAACGGTTGACATTTTCCCAATAAAATATAGAAAATATTTTAAATATACGAAATATATTTTAATTTAAAAACACTTAAAAAAAACAAAACGAAAGAAAATATTTGATAGTTATGCTTGTTAATACGAATGCTTGTATACGTGAGTCAGCTTTTTATTTATTGAACAAAAGACACGTCCGGATCCAAGAATATAAAATAGAGGGGGCCAGAATGAAGGACTTTCACAGATAAAGGGTCTACACCACCTCAGCCCCACTATGGTTGGGGCTAAGGTAGGACAATTGATGATTATGGCACCTCATATGACCGCAAATGGTACTCTCAGACTGAAATTGCAATATAATATTTTTTTCTACATATATTTGTATAATTTTGAAGAAAAAAAAAATAATAACCGCCACTGTGGTCTTTGCAGCGCTCCTTGGTACAGGCACGTGTAACAAGCTACAACATACGCGAACGGTACTTATTTTCGTTTTTAAAAACTTTCTTTGTGGGTACGAAACCAAAGTCCATGTTAAGTATACAAACCATTACGGTGGTATCAGTTTGGAATGTCACCTTTTATTTCAAACAAATAAAACAAAGTGACTTGTTTAAATTAATAGTATGAGTAACGATGCGTGCTGTAACATAGATAATCCTACTTCGAATTGCATTTTTCTTTTACTTATTGCAGATTACAATTTTTATATTAATTATTTGAGCATTAACACAAATTGAATAGCTAATTAAAAAAATCTATTCTTGAAACATCGTGATAATTCAAAATAATGGTAATGTATAATTGTATGCGCTTATTTATATTTAATTTCATCAAATAGCGTAAACGCCAGTAATAAAGATTTCCGAGATCAGCAAAAATCTTTGTTTCACTGGGCAAAGTTAGGCCTACGTGCCACAGGGTGTGCCGTGCGGTTCATAATGATATCAATCGCTTGCATCTATAGTGTGGATATTTGTTTGTGTTTCAAACATCAAATACAATACTTATATAACATCTAAATATAAAAAGTAAAAGATGTACCAATAAAAAGAACAAATTCAATAACATGTAGAATTACTGTATACACTAGACAAGCATCTGTACATACGAGATGCCTAGATGCTCTACACAATGTAGGAAAGAGGGTTAAGTTGAATTTTTCATTATGCACGAAGTGTATAGGAAGTTTCATCGTGAAAAAGATCTGTAAAAATTGAACCTATATATTTCAAACAAATAAATGATATATATATATATAAATAGCTGTCTCTTATACACATCTTTATTGTTGGTATTATTATTATTATTATTATTATTAT